ACAGTACAAGCCTGTGATAGCGTAGCTCGTGATGATCACGTCTCATCACATCATACGTAGGTATCTGAGCGGTGCGGATGTGTGTCGCAGCTCGTGCTACTAACACACTTTCCGTGTCCCGTCTCTCTCGCTCCGAGCTAAGCCGGAACTACCGAGTACCGACGGTCAAGGCTATGGGTTACCGTTTTGGATCGCGGGATTTAGGATTTAATTTGTGGACATACCACCAACAAACTTATAGGCTCATTGTGATAGAGAAATCCTTTACTGATGAACTTTAAACTTGGCTCTGTAGAGATTATATTTAATGGTTGTAAGTGGGAATTATGTATATAAGTGTTCTTGTGTTTGGAAGTAGGTAAAGTGTAATTATATATCCATATGTCTGTCGTCTTTGTCAGCTATCACCAAATGACTGATCAATCATTTTAACCTACACCCAGCACATTCACTCTACGTTTAGTTAAATCTCACATAGTATTGTATGAGATTCTTCATTTATGAGTAGACTTTTTCGTTTAAATTGCAATTGTATCCATTTTTACTACAATAAAAGCGTATTTTAAAGTATCTTAAGTTTAAATCTGAAGTGTATATCTTTATTATTTGGGAACACAGATTGTAAGAGCAAAAAGACATTAATATAATTATTTTTCAGTGTATTCTCTTAAGGTCGTATAACGTTTTTTTTTCGTTATCTCCATGAAGTAGTCACAGATAGCGTCTGTCGATGTTCCGAGGTCGCGGAGCCAAGTTCAAGTGTGAGGTTCGAGCGGTGACATTATATGAACTTTAAACGATCCAGCCGACTGAGAGAATGGATTGCTGAGAGGAAATAGGTTATATTACACTTAGATTAAATATTAACCAATACTAAAATTATGAATGTTTTTCTATTTTAAATACTAAGAAGAAAAGTATTTTTAAGGCAATAATGATATTCATTTCAGCCAGATATCTAATATCTCTATGTCATTAACCTCGTGAGTAATGTTTCAATAGATCGAACCTAACTCTCAGTGTATAAAGCCCTGACATTGGTAAGTTTAAGGTAAAAAGGCGCGGCCCAAAGGTCAACCTTCAATTGAGCGGGCTATATGGGTCGCGACACACTCACCGGCAAGTGAATACATTACGGTAAATAATTTTGAAAGGTCACATACGAGTACAGAACAAAACTTAAATATATTCTTAATTGACTCACTAACAAACGGACAATTGACACTGAGGAACTTTGGATAACATTTTTCTGGGTTTCGAGTCTATTCATTATTTTTATCGAGCTATAAAAATTCAAATTAGAAACTATGTAGATGGTTTTTATCAATGAGTGCGTGTGATGTTTTAATTGTGTGAACGATGTCTGCGAGGCGGCATTGTGTTCTGGAGCTGATGGAAGGAGGAGGGTAGAGGAATGATGAGTCGGAGATTTAGCATATTACAGTTGACATTTAGCATATAATCAGTGGTGCCCTAGTGGCTAAGGGCCTTACTCTCATGCACGAGAGCACGGTTTCGATCCTGGCAAGTACCTATGTGATTTTTCAGAGTCATATGTACCTAATGTACTTTCTGAGAGTATTTAGACACCACTGACAAACGGTGAAGGAAAACATCGAGAGGAAACCTGGACTTATAATTTCAAATTATAAGTTTGAAATCATCAATCCGTCTTGAGCAAGCGTAGTAATTAATGCTCAAACCTTCTCCATGTGAGGAGAGGCTATGCTCAGCAGTGGGCTCTGATAGGCCGATGACGAATTGACATTGAAGTATATAAGTAATTAGGGTTTATAATAAATAATTCGATGTTATTATTATATTAAGTATCTATATTAACCGAATACATGCAGCTGGTCGCGTGACGAGGACCGCTCCTATGGTCACGAATTAATTTCGAAAAAAAACCTATATTTTTAATGAAAACAGTTCGGCATTGGAAGTTAATTTATGACGCGGAGACATGAAATGATGATGTTATGTAGAAAAAACACATCGCTTAGGAACTGTCACCTGAACCGTTTGTTAGTGTTGGAATTTGGGTTTAATTAAATAACTGTAGTTATAACGTTAAAATATATAATAAATACCACAGCTAAACTGAATTGTTGTAGGACGAAAATTTCAGTAGGACAGTGGAACTAAACACAATATTGTGTCTCTACTAATTTCGTAATCATCCATTAAATTTACTACTATTGATACTATTCACAATATTTCAATCTGTTTATCAAAGGACAGAAAAAGATTTACGAAAATAATATTTTAATAAGAGAATGAACTGATAATAAAATATTAACTTTTCTTTTTAATTACTCTTACAGTAACTTATACCCAACATCAGAAATAGTATTTTATATCTGTTAGGAGATATTGATATTATTTAACATGAAGGTTTTATTAATAAAAAAATCAAATTGCATCAGTGTTTAAAACTACTAGATTTCGATGTAATTTTTTTTTCAGGTTCTCATTAATCTAAACCAGACTATTAACTATCATTTGTAAAATGATAACTAAAACTATTTTTCATGGTTATCATTACATTATATGATATGAGTGTGTTGTATGTAGTCGTATGTTTATGAAGCAGCACTCAGCCCGCGTGGCTCGGTGAAATCAAACAGTTAAAAGTGGGTTGGTGAAAGAATCTCGCCGCTAGTAGCGTCCGCAAACTAATCTACTAGTCTACTACTATTAATATTACTCATTTATTATATATTAAATATATATGTAAAGTATAGAGGAATGTTTTGTTTTAAACTGCTTATTATATAGTTACGAAATGATTACCTTTAATAAGCTCGGTAGGTAAATGCTATCTGTTGTGTGTATAAATGAACAAAGGTGATTGCTAATGATTTAATATGTAGCTATTATAAATTATATTTCTGGTAATTATAACGTTCTTTAAAATTCTCATAATATATGAATAATAAAGTATATTTTTTCTGTAATCGTTCTGTACATAGTATGTGTGTGTGTGTGTGTTTTCCTCTATCGTTACACTGTGTCAGTGTGTGTGTGTGTGTGTAGCCTGCACCTTGCGAATAGTCAACGTGTCGTGTGTACATTATGGCTATTTTCACATCCGACTTTCTTCCGACGCGCCGAGACCGGTGTGAACCGAAGATCTTTCACTTTGGTTCGCACCTTTGTTTGCGCGATGTCTAATGTGACCCACTTCGCTTGCACTTTTTAAACATTTCAGCGGATCTCTACGAGGGTACGGGATCCATGTGTTATACACACGTTATGTAATAATCATTCATCATGTTAGTTGTTTCAGGTGTTTAAAATAAAATCTTCGAATATATCGTTAACAAAAAAATCTCCGTTTATTTTACATTAATTTACAATTTACTTATAATGAAAAACCTCTCGAAAATATAACATTTCTTACGTAAGTACGTCGCTATCACTAAAACTAAAGGTCATTACACTATCAATAAATTCAACGAGCACATTTTAGAGTAACACAACGAATTTCACCCGACGTTACTTGAATTTATTTGATAGTGTATCGATCTGGTGTAATGGACAGAGGGATTTACAATAAAATTACATTTACCAATAAATACTTACATGCTAGGGGTACTACAACTAAAAAGGTACTTTATTAAGGTCCACAAATGTCGTAGGAAACGCAGCGCATGAAACACGAAACATAGAAAATATGGATAAGGCTCGGGAGGATCTGGTTACACTTTAAGTATGATGGCATATCCAAATGTATTTATTAATTATTATTAGGCGTTTCACAAACGCGCGTCCATCCCACCGGGGCGGCCGTGTTCTCTAGGACCGTCATTTGTAGACTTGAGACGATCTCATTACCATAGTGTTATTAGAACGGGTATCGACGGGAATGTATGAAGGATTACATGATCGATATATACTCGGCTCACATCATTGTCATGGATTGATTTAGAACGAAAATGACATGAAAATTGACGACGTTTTATTGTATGTTATATTAATATATATAATGTGTTTGTTAAATAACGTGTGCCCTAAACGTGTGTTGTGTAACACCGGATCGTTGTTATTAGAGCATCGGCCCAGGTTTTTCTTCGTCCGTTTCCCGGACGCGATGAGTTCCGATCGCGTGCTTGAAGGATTCTACTTACATATCAGGGTTCCATAGAACTTTCAGTAGTTCAGAACTAATATGAATTATAAGACATTTGATTTGAATGAACAATGAGCGCTTTAAATTCGTATAATTATATGGATTTTATTGTCATGTTAGTAACGAATGAAATTTTGTGACGTTCTTAATGCATGATAAGAGTTAGAATATTTGTGATTAGATGAGGACATATATTTAAATACAATAATATAACGCGTATGTTAGCCTCCTTCGCTTTGTCATTCATTAAATAATACAATACTTAATAATATACATTGTAAAGCTAAATAATATCTTCATTACGTTGACTATAAATAGGTAATCGGAGTAAGCATTCACATACACGAGACATAATTAAAATAAATAAGGGTGAAAGTCGCGAGACGAGACATAGTTATGATGTTCGCACGTCACGCTGTGCTCCGTCCGCTCAATACAGACTTCAGATAGACATGGAGACGAACTACGAACGTATATGTACATACACTAGGTTAATGTAAGCGAAGGGATTCTCCCACTGAACTTAGAGAATGGAATGAATCGGGTCCCGATTAGTAAAAAAGTATATAAACAATATGCCTTACTTAATAAATCTGAAGACTTAAAACTAGTTAACATTGCACTTGTCCTTAGGAGGAGTGTTATTCTACAGGGATAAAAAAATACATATATGTAAACATTGTTCTTAACTACGTTAAAAGACAACGCTGCTTACGAAGAGTCATGTACAACAGGAGAGTACAGTCGTGTACCCGCGTGTATCTGCACGCTAGAGAGGCAGCCACACATGACACAGGTGAGTTCGTCCACACAACACTCACTCACACAACTACAGCTACAGAAATGCTTTACTTTGAGCCGGCGGGTGCTAGTCCCGCCCGATCCTCTTGTGGATCTGCTGGTGTTTTATAAGGTGCGCCTTCTGACGGAAAGCCTTGGCGCACACGTCGCATCTGAAGGGCTTCTCCCCGGTGTGAGTCCGGAGATGGACCTTTATGTTGGACTTGTTCAGGAACCCTCTATTACAGATCCCACAGCGATGCACAGGTTTCTCTTTCCCTAACAAGCCGCTCAGCTCCGCGGATGTTGCTGATGCGAAGGCTAACGAACTTCCATGCAGGCTTCCTCCGTTGTTCACTTGTTTTGCTTTTGCTCGACTACGTTTACTCTTACTGGATGGAGTGACCGTGGTCGTGTGGGCGTGTGAGTAGCCGAGTAATCTCTCTGGACTACAGAGTCCGTCCAGTTTCAGCCCGAGAGCGTAATGTGGTGCATATCTGCCATTGAGCAATCCTCCGACACCGTCCGTGGTTGAAACCGCGTTTCCTGGTGGCGACGACGTTGATATCACGTCCATCCCACAACTCGTTGAACTTGGAGCCTCTTGTTTAACGGGGGGACCGTTTTGCAATCTGTTTTGTAATAAAGGCATGTACCCATGAGATAATAGCGACTGGAGAGTAGATCCAGCCTGTCCTAAATTCTTTTGAAGGAATTCCTCTCTCTTCGAGAACTCTTGGCTGGGCTTGCACGGGAAGTCTATACTGGACTGGTGACTCGATTGTGATGGTGGCGGAGAACCGAAACCGAACTCCGATAGGTCTTGTTGAACTATTTTGTCTCCGTGTTGACTACAAGCGCCCGCTATCCATGCGTCTATGTCCATCCAGCTATCTCTAGAATCGTTTCTGTCAGGGTCCTCCGGCTGAGACTGTACAGTCGTGTCAGCGATGGCGGAGCCGATGATGGCCGCCAAGTCCTCTATGGAGCTGATGTCGTACATGTCTTGTTTGTGTCCATCATCAAATATTTTGGCAGGCGGGGAACAGGATTGAGCACAGGAGTCCGCTACACCGGGCGCCGACGACTCCGCGAACGGTTTGGTGTCCGGCGCGTCCAGAGGGAAGGGTTTGACATCCTCGAGGTCCGGCGGCTCGGAGTCAGCGGCGCACGTGGACGAGGAGACCACGTCCTGGTCGGCGCCGTACCCGCTCTGCGTGGGGTAGTTGTTGTTCTCTTCTGGAAGACGTTGTGCTATAGCGTGGAAATGATGACCGGAGATGCCGTTGATGGAGAGGTGGCCGGTGTACCCGGTGAAGGGCGGGAGGGGTTTGAGTTCGGCCAGGGGCGGGGGTGCGAGGAGGGAGTCCAGCAGCTCGTGGCAGGGCGGGGGGGAGGCGTCCTTGGGGTCCAGCCAGCAGCCGCCCAGCAGCAGCTCGTCGCCGCCGCCGGCCACTCCGGCGCACTTCATGCCGCGCCTCACCGCCACGCCCGAGAGAGACACCCCACCGCCATACTTGGAAGCCGCCACCCTGCCGCGTTGTCTGCGAACACAAGCACACGCGCGTCAAACATTTTGTAATTTATATTTAGGTTAGTCGAATACGAAATCGAGATATCGCCGCTAAATAATAATCGTTTCCACTTTGCCGGCGCGCGCCGCTCCGCTTCACTAGTCATCGGTGTTGCCGCGATACTGGCTACTTGCTATTTTTATTTCAGTATAACGAGACTCCGATTTGTGTTATTCTTTTGCAACATTCTACGATTATTGTATTTTGACATAAATAATTATTGAAAGTTGTCATGATAGCGGCGTCTCGGTCGGCCGAGGTGTTCGTCGTTAGATGTAGGAACGTTTGATTTGAATGCCAAAGAATGTATGTAATAACAGGTGTACGGTTAATGATCACATTAAGTCGGAAGCTTCATGAGGTACCTCTCGCTGCACGGAGCACACGGAGGTACAATTAACAGAGTCGGTCGACTTATCTGACCGTGTTCACAACATCGCTATGAAACTCTGTTTCTCTTTAATCGTTACTTATTCTAAAGGGTGTTCTGTTTCCCAACCTTCTTAACTATTTCACGAACAACCAGAGAACAGTTCTCAAGTACGCAACAGTCCAAGAAATAATTGATTAGAATATTTTACGTAATATTGCCGAAAGCTTTTCAAAAAAATATATATCGATTGTTAAAACTGCACCTTTGTTGAGCGACGTCTGTGACAGAGCGGTGGTAGTTCAACACGCACCTCGTTGCCAAACCGATACAGACACGCAATAAATTGCAATAACGAAGTAAAAAATCAAGTCGGTTATTATAAAGATTTGTCTCGCTACTGGAGCGGCCTTGGGGAGGTTTTCGCAAAACATTAGGTACTGATTGCGCGGGTCGTTGGCCCGTGGCGGTGTTGGCGCAACAGAAAAATACACTTCACAGATATTGCGATCGGAACGTGACTCTCGATACAGAAATAAATACGGTTCGACTGACATATGACAATGAAAACATATGGACGGTGAGGAGAACAAATACTGCAATAATATAGAACCAGTACGTGAAATAGATGACTTGAAAATGTTAAATTTAGTTTTTGGTTTGTGAAACAAAAAGAATGACGATCTAGAAACTAGTCGGCACTTATTCTATTTTATTAATAGAAACGTTAATGACAAAATAAATATAACGTAAACCGAAATAAATTAGAAGAGGTAACGATTTAACTTAAATTATAACTTGTATGAATTCTCACACGATTATAATAAGGAGACATTTAATATAAAGGCTGCTGTGTTATTTGTCAAGTGTATATATTTTTCCCGAATCTCTGCGAAAGTCTTCATCCCATTATCCGCTCTGATGAGTCGCGAGTGAAAGTGTTCCTGAGGCTGTACCACACAGATGTACAACCATCACTTCTTAACTATTAGAATTATACGATGACCAATGACTTGTACCAACGGACTAATAATACGATAAATACTACTGAAACTAGCTGGAGGTTAATTAACTAGCTTTATGATTGTTAAGTATTTTTCAAGTCTTTTTGTTTGTATCTCATTGTGTCGGCTCGTTAGTCTAGATGTCTAATTTAATTTATTCATCGGTAGGACAGAGGCGAGAGGTCGTTGAAGTCTTTTCTTAATCTCATTGTAATCACTCGGTCGTTCTGCGATACATTGCTTGGAGTGAGTCAAATTTTGTGTTTGATTGTATATACTCGAGTCAATTGATGTTTCATTCAAAAGATGGTCCAAATTATTTTGGTGTAATTCTGTAGGGTCTACTTTCAAATAGAAAAAGTGTTCCGAAACAGCCCAGCCCGTATTAGGTCCAAGCTCGCTCGTCCACTCCGGGCTGCTGTTATCTGAACATCTCCCAGCCTTGAGGTAGGTTGAAGTCTAAGGAGGAATCGGCGTTCGTAGTGAAAATCGAAAACTCCTCGCCTCTCAGACGAGAAGCGACCTTATGCCTGTAGGTCAAGGTTGCTTTTCGTTCAGCCGCTCCGCTCGCCGCCGACCTATCGCTGCGAGCTGGTCTTTACGCCACTGACACACTTCCGTATCTACCGTTAGCTGGCCCCGTTTCACCCCTCTCTTTCACTCTCGTTTGTTCCTCGTCCGTTCGATCTTCCGTCTCGCTCGCGCCGACGACTGTGGGTTGGCCCCAAAATTTCATTCGTGATAGGATTTTTTTAAAAATCCGTTGCCTCCACCGGTCATTGGGTCACGTGGCAGTGGCGATGAGTATTTATATGTAGTATATAATATATAAACACATACATATATGTATGTATATAAACTAACCACGGCAGCATGACTTATTAATAGCAGAGTTTGTCCAAGCTGTGGTCCCGGTTCGTGTTATAATCAATGTATTTTTGTATCACAGTGAGATAACCAAACGTAGAAATATTTTTAATGATTGTTGATACTTACTATGTAAAATACATGTATTCAAATACTAAAAGCTTTGTTTGTGATTAATAAAAACTATTTTAATTCTATCATGAAATATTCTATTATATGGACCGAGGGGAGAGCAAATTCACAAAACGACACGAATACGTTATTGTATTTCAAAAATATTCATTCATTAATTCCGTTCCTAAAATAAGAGCTCTTATATTTAGACAGGAATGTAATTTATTTACTAAAGTTACTAGTATGATATGATATTCTAAATGTCAGGAATTGTTCCGAAAATTATCTAAGTATCTCCAAAGTAATATAAAAATAATTTATTAGTGACATTTACTTCCGAAAAACATAACAACTGATTTGTTATAATGAGTCTTTTAACTTTAATTTTTTATAACATCTTGGTTTAACATTGATTTCTATCAAAAAAATCCCGAAATATTTTTCATAAAAATTAAAATTAACTTAATAATACAAGTAGACTGTCATACCTATATGTATTCCTAGCTAATTAAATCACAGCTGATACACGAGGAATACGAAAAAATGTCCACTTCACTTCAACTCCACTGCACCGACAACTTCACTTCACGACAACTTCAAATAAAATGACCGAAAATGAAACTATTTTTGCATTAGGAGCAATCCCGGAAGATAAAACAATGCGGTACCAATAAAATGGCAAATACAAACCATTCTCACCCTTAAACCCTCTTTGATAAGGTACATATTATTTATGACGGCATCACTGATCCTAATTGCCTAATAAAAATTACCGTGCTTTACCGTTACGGGCCTAAAGTTAAATATTTTAATTTGGCTACCTAGCTTTTATTGTACAGGACCAGTAACGGTTCCTCTGGACTTTGAAGTTTGGCGACAGATACTGAGGAACTTTGAAAATATCCGACATAGAAAAAGATAATATTATGTTCAAAATATTTAGTATATTGTTGGTAATAAATCGTTTGAATTTTTTTTTATATTTTGGAACTCATTAATAAACATGTAGATTTGATCTATGTGTAATAAATGATACGGAGTTAGCAAATGGTTGCATAAATATATCGACGCGCCACAGAGAGGGTGAGAAAAGTAGAAAAAAATATAAAACAATAAATCAGAAACCAACCATAAAACAGATTCCACGAAAACCCAAAAACAGTATCTATTAATATTGTAAGCTGAACCCTTTATTTGCATAAACATCTCAAAACAATAGCTCCGAGTCGGAATGATCCTAATTGTTTAAAGCGGCTCGTCCGTCCCGTTACCGACGGCCTTCCTACGTGATCGACCGTTAAAACAACGTTTGACATCTCACGTGACGTTACTACGGCGATACCTAACACTTCTTGGAAAGAATACAGTCCAAAAACCGTGTGATTCCGTGTGTGTGTGGTACGAACCAGTGGCTACTCGTATGTTGAGCATCAGTAATGAGACATGCTAATTACAGGGCACGTTCCTCAAGGACGGTGGAGGAGTAACGGACGCAAAACATTCGTGGACAGAAACGAATAACGGAGAGTACGTAGATTGTGAGACTATTAACTACATAGAATGTGTAGTAGTCTTTGGAGAGTTGAAGTGTTCTTCACAATTCATAGGGTTAGTGAGTAATCAGCTTATTGTGAGAATGAGTACATTCTAACAAATTAGTTATTAAAGTAGTTCAGAGTTAAATCAATTATTTATTTCCCAAAATAATATAAACTACATCAATAAGTTTGGATGAAAACAAAACACGTCCACAAAAAGTTATCCAAACAAATCATTTCAATACATCCAAAGTCCAAACGCATGAGTCCCGGGTCCGTCAAGGTCGGGTCAGTGACCGTCCCGTTATCCCGGGCTATCCCGGCCATCGACCGCAGTCTTTTTGTATTTTTCGGTATAAGTTTTTTGTTCCGTCGGTTCCTTTGACGTGTGTAACTTCTAAACCGCTCCTAACCGTGTCTTATATTCACAAATATTACCTACTTGTTACTTCAGTATTATAACTGTGTTTATATTTTCAATATTATTAATGTTATTTTTCTTTGTAAAAGCCTTATTAATTACATATAGTAGTGTCAGTACAGCCTGCTCGGGCGATGTGTCAACGTGTTTGTCTCTTTAGTATATTATAGGTAGTAATTACAATGTACTAACTTATTCCTTACTCTTTCTATCTTTATAAAAATTACTCAATGTATTTAATATGATTTTATATTGAATTGTAATTAAAGTTCTCTTCATAAAAATTATAATAACATATAACATTGTCAAAGAAATTATTTAATCTAAGATTAGGATTCATCTTTCGATTTCTTCATCTTAATTGTTAAAGCCACTAAATCCGATACTTGTTTATTTCATTCTATCCTCAGTATTCTTCATTTCGATGTATCAGCTTTACTTTAGAATTATTTCCAAACAGTCCTTCAGCGAATTTCAAATACAACAAATCTCTGTGACATTGGAAATGTAGCGACACTTTTACTTGCACTACAAATAGAAAAGTGTTAAGTATTTTTATAGCTCTTATTGCTCGGACATAGAGACTATATTCCTCTGTGACATGAGTCGATCAAGTTTATGACAACTTTTACATTTCGCTCTCCGTCTCTGATATACTTTGCTGTCATATTTTCTTAGCGTTCTTTATTACAAACTTTAAACAATTGTATCATGAGCTAGTACGAAGTATTTACACGGAGTTTAATCATTTTTCAGGAGTAAGACCAGTATAACTTTTCAAGCCAAAATCATATTGAAGTAATTCTACATAAAAGACCTAAACTAGCTCATTGCATATAATATATAAGACTTAATATAAAGTTTATATATTTTTATGACGAATACTAGTCAAATTCTATCTATGTATAATGTGAATGTTAAAATTTGTTATATGTGTGTTATTTTAATTTCAATAAAAAGTTAGTTTTAGGCTACAAGTCTGTAGAACACAGAGGCTACTTGTACTCCTATAAAACTTGTAAACCGTACAAGACGGGTAACTTTACTAACGAGAACAGTAAACAACAATTAAGTCTACAATTTAAACAATAAGATACAAAAAATAGAACAGTAAACTTTTAAAACAGTCCTAATAAAACAATAGTATCGCTACTTTTGAAGTCAATTTTAAAATGTGTAACAGGATTGTATCTGTCGGTGAGATTACGATCTGTTCCCGACGATGTAACTGTAAGTGTCGAAGTGAAGACGAGCTGCGAGGTGACTCACATCGATGAGACGATAGAAACTCACGAATTATCACAGAGCAATTAACCTACAAACATAAGACAAATGTCTTTCATCTGATCGTAAATATTTCAGATTATTCATTGTACTTATACATCTATAAGTGTTGAATAATTACACATAGTCTTATTTTATCTTATAATCAGTTAAACTTTGTCGTCAGTTAAGCTTGTTATTAATGATGACATATCAAATTAGTTCACACGAAGAAGTATTTCTTACTTAGAATACTACTTGACAGAAAAACTTATGTATTTCATTCGCTACGTCATAATTATTCCAAATACAGATTCCAACTATTCTGTTAATACTTACTATTACTGATTATTTCTTACTGAAAGACGTATAATATTTAATAAAGCCATCTATACATATACGTTTATTAAGCTAAGTAGTCATAGAACGTCATTATGTCAAGTTGTTAATACAGCGATACATTTAATATTTAAAATGCTCCAGTAACATATCTCGAGACATCAATCGATCATTCTGTATCGATTATCAAATCGATATCGTCTCAATCATCGATACCAGTTCTATTGAGATGTCTGTGTCTAATTACTTCTGTGCTAACTGGAGTAATTTTTTTCCTCCGAACCTACTTTCGTTGTCTAATAGATCTTAATTGACTTGATTTAAATATCAATGTTGTATCTTATATAGTGTATTTGTTTTTTATTTAGGCCAATAATTTATGATTATTCTTTCATTAAATTGATGGTTGTACTGTATTTTTTCTATAGTAATATATAATATCTAATTGAAGTAGTATTTAAACCACATAATTTTGTCTATTCTAATATTAGCCTAAGTGTATGGGTGGTATCTGTCATCTGTTTCTAGGCCAGCTCTGTCCGCGCTGGCTAAGAGGCGGCTACTTTATTGGCTGCATTACTTACAGAATGGAGAAAGGTTGATAATGCCTTTGTTAGCTGATAGTCAAAATCTTGTAATTGAATAAGGCGAGCTATTTACTGCGTGATAGCTTTAATACCCTCGCACCTTACGGAGATAAATTAATAATTAGCATCGACTTTGTCTTAGACTTATTGCGAGAATCTTTTAAATTTATCTCAACCTAAGTAACCGGTTCTCACGCATAAACGTAAGCTTTCTTTGAGTACTACTTGTAATAAATCCTCACCAGTCACCACGCCTTAGTCAACAGCTGTTAAAAGATAAAGATGACTGTGAGAACAAAGCCGGACCTCCAAAATAAAAGGCAATCAGTAACGGTGCCGCCGCGAAATGTGATCTCCGTACAATCAACCGTTACTACTACGAGTATTAACTACTACCTCAATCAAACAACCTGCTCATCAAACAGATCTACTTACTTACTCAATGACTCTTTGACAAAAATACTAATTGATTTAATACTACTAGTTAAAGTATCTACGAGTATGAGCGTTCGGTCAAGGTGCGAACGTTTTGAATCAAATGTGATTTGTTGAATTCCTACTTGTTTTTGTTTACATCCACCGACCCTTGTATCACCTTTGCGTTTCAAGGACCCTCGTAAAGGTGCTCCCTTTCAATACGAATAATATCCGATAGTCAATATTTAATTAACATATATATAATTAGTAATGTCAAAACATCGCTGTATCAATGTAACCGTCAGCGTGTCGGCTGCTAACCTTTCTGTTAACATTTGTAACATAAACAATATTCCGTCCTATAAAACAGTTTCATTATTGCGGTGACAAACAATCGGCTTATATTTATGTATTTTCTTCAATCATTTTAATTATTGAAAAGACTTCCAGAGCTGAGGTAAGACACCATCGTTCAACAATTTTTTAACCCTACAAAAGTTATCCGGCTCTTTTAAAAGTTATAATTGAGGTTAATATATTACAATTTGCATACCCGCGGGTCACGGCGAGCGATCAGCTGACCGGCAGGTGACTCCGCGTGACATGTAATAGTGTTTGACAACCAATACATTACAATAAAAACATTAATTAAAATACTTTAATGTTTCAGCCGACTTTATACTTTATAATGATCATTGATCTAAAAAGTATATTTATTATAAATGTGTGCGTGTTCATAAGGAATGAAAGATTATTTTATTTGTAGTAACTATTATTTAGGAGACTAAAACGTGTTGTCCTAATTAGGTGTCCAGATAAATTTTACAACTAAAAAACAAAGAGGTAACGGAACAGTCCACTCATATGTATATGTATCGAGTCTCACAATGTATGAAGAGTGGACTAATATAAAATAAGACATATGTAGTATAAGGTTAGCCTTCATCGTAAATGACAAATAAAGACCAACATCGGTGATGCAAAACTTGAAAGGAAATATTTCTCTCATAGGATTTTCAATAGAATTCAATATGAATGAAACATAGAAATAATTGTTCTTCATATTCTTGCTCAGTTAAATATGTGAGGTATGAAAAATCTGTTTGGAAAGATACATATGATGAACAACTCATGGACTAAAAGAACAACATAATATAAACTTATGTATAGGTTCAATAATAACTTTGAAGCAACGAGTCTTCGTAAAGACTGTAGAGGTACTTAGACGCTATGCATTGAAATGTGTATCTTAATAAACGCAGTTAGTTGTATTAATTATCATCAATAAGAGGTTACTAACTGAATAATTCCGACTTTGCCTGTGACTTGGTGTTAGTAATATATCGCCTTATTAATTGAATCATTAGCTGTTGATGTGTACTCATAATAACTATGTTTGAAGTCTACTAACTACGTGTTTTAGTGTTAACTGACTGAGTTTAACTGTCTGACGGATATCAGATACAGTTAACTTTACGATTCATAGCGATCGATCGTTGGTATTAAAATATGAATCTTAAACTGATTCAGTTTTATACATTTTTTTATTGATTGATAAAGAGAGCAATTTGTATAGAGATTTTCTTATAAAAACTTATATTTTCTTGGAATATACACTGAGTGATATAGTTAATTTATTAAAAGGTTGTTGTGAAAAACGTGTTCTCAAGACGTGACAAGGAACAACACGAGCCACCTGTCGTCGCCGCACCCAAAAATACGTGAAAAATTGACAAATATTTAGAAAACATGCCGACATAACAGATGTCGATTAAACTGAAAAAATATTTTAATATAACACATATAAGAAAGTTAGCATATTACAATGTTATAATCAGTTTTCGTAATAGAATACTTCAACCTTTGACTGTGAGTTTTCTAACAATGACGGACTAACTACCGCTACGTGTCGCGGACTGTGATATAGCCTTCACAATAGGACATGTTCCTAACAACACTCCATTTAATTTTCATCCAAATTCAATTAATATATTCGCATTTCTCCTATATATACTTTACATTATAAACAAAAGTATAAGTGCATTATATGTAAAAGTTTCGCGAAGCTCTTATATTTCTCGTAGCTACTCAAGTCTAGTTATTATGGTATATTATTCAAAAATATCTGTTCCTCGAGAACCTTCAAAAACGCATTGACCCCACGACTTGTAATATCTATGGCGTGTCCTGCCGAATGAAACAGGTTTGAGTCCCGCGTAACGGGACCCTGACCTCAATACATTTTTTGGAACCAGATGGACACTATCTTTACAATCGAGATTTTGATGTATTTAGTATTTTGATGGAAATTTTCATCTTGTATTTGGATTATAAAAAGTGTAATACAAGTCGACACTGTTTCGGTGTTTAATAAAAAGTGTCCGCACATTTTTTGCGTTAAATTCGTAATTATATCTTCTTAGGTTTCAGTGACCATCAGTTATTTAGGTCGTCCCGTCTCGACATCCTGCTCCATGGAACATTATATTGAATCATCGAATTTTTGGTAACGAGTTCAAAAACATTTTGTTTCACAACATTTTACAACAAGTGGGCTACGAAATTCCTTTAAAAATACATTGCTCTTTATTTAATACAATGTTCAAAGTAAATAAAACGAACACGTGGCAATAAAAGAACAAATAAATATAGGACGTACTTATCAAAATTAAATTTCAATAAATTTTCCTTCTAAGCGTTACTTTTAAACATTCCGTTTCATTGTCTCTCTTGTAACCATCTTCATAGAAGTGGAACAATTTAATAAGCTCCAATAATTTGCTGTTTCAAGTAAAAATCCACTGGGTCACATTCACTAAGCACCATTTTAATGTTCGACCGTCACGTAGCTCGTTCTTGACTTTGAAAGGAGGTTTCGCGGCCACGAGGGGAGGGAGACGGAGGGAGGGAGCCGGGGGGAGGGAGGGAGGGAGGGAGGCTCTCAAAAAGTGAAACGCCAACCAGCCATGGTACCGTGATTCGCGATACTTTATAGTAGATGACGGGCTCATTATGAATAGCTGCCTAATTGAAACGTCGACAGTGACGCCGTGGGTGATTACAATATACAATTAGATAAAGGATGGAAGGTTATTGACGTCTACAATACTGTTAAAACGCTCGCATCATTATCACAATGAGTATAAAACAGACGGCCGCTTTACAGTTAGTGACGTGGACGAGAGGCTTCACGGCTGGCCGGCGCTGACTCCGACCAGCGGGGATACTCACTGACTGACCGACGCGAGGAACTAGGACCACTGGCATAGCAGCTGAACAGAGAAATATATATAGGAATTGAAACTATGACAAAATATTATGACATGCTGTTTTAACATAACTCCAATAGAAAGTATTTCTTCTTATTGAGATGATGGTGGCAATTTGAGTAGATTTAGTTCGATACAGTCAGAGCGATCTCTAAACGGACTTGTATAATGTATACGTGTTGTGAGACGCGTTGGTGCGCTTGTGACGTAGGAACAAGGACGCTAGCCACGTGCTGCACCATATACGATAGTAAGGAAAAAACATAGCTCGGGAATACGTTCACATTAACATACATCTAACTGTACAGAGACTATCATACAAACTAGCTTTTAATTGAGAAGTTAGATTTACATACATTGAAAATACTAAATATTGAAACGTATAGTGGATTTATGTATCAAATACAATAGTTACCGTTCTGTTGTATACAATTAATTGAAGTAAACCTAGTAGAACAGTAACTGGTCGCAGTTGGACGCCCTCGGACACCGTTACAACGGACAAGGACCTCTGTGACGACAATAAGGGCGTCTACACACTGGATTAATGTGATACTACAAATATACAGCCTCCCACTAGCTACTGTACCTAACACACAGATGAAAGCATATAAAAATGAGCTTTAATAGCACGCTCTATGTACTATTGTCCTGTGATTCCTGAGTATGTTGTAGTATATCCTTCACGTAGGCTGTTGTACGTCAACAGTAGCACATGATACGATACGATTCATAAATAAAGATCGTTACGTAAAGGTTTGACGACGATCGCCAACTGACGGAATGAAGCGAAGTGAAAGTCAGCGAATGATTCACGGAGTATCGACGTGTGGATCAGTTATGATATATGTAACGTGTTCATTATATATTATAATTGATCTCATCAGTTTAGTTCGCAGGTGTCCTAAACGAAGATTCCTCGTGAGACTCGCCCTCAATGAAATGTGGGTCAAGTTTATTGACAAATCAGGACGTTGCCCGCCTCCGTCCCTCTCGCACCTACTGCCTTTGTATGTGGTCGGGAATCCTCCCGGATTGACGAGTCGTGGCAGAATTCATGACCGTCATGTTAATTAAATCGTTCATAATTTACAAAGAACTTCCTCATACAATATTATTAAAACTATTATTAGATAAAAACATTAATTATGTAGGAGATCGAACGAAAGGTAAATAAACTTATATGTGCAGATGTGATTGACCGATCAAGAAAATCAACGAGGAGCCTTGACTGTGACTTACGTAAGAATTGTGGTTCATACGACACGACGCGACGCTACTCAAGGCTAGCATGGAGATATTATGAACTAGTAAACAATATATTAAACTACTACGGAAATTATATTGAATAGAACTTCATTTAAGCTGAGTAATTACTATAAAAAAATCATTCAAGGCAGTGCGTAACCCGTCATTACGAACCTGGTTGAAAAAACTTACCCTTAGTGTTTGTAAGGGTGTCTGTTTACCCCGGATACCGGATATCGTTTTAATACCGGATGTCTACACGTGTTTAGATCTCAATGGGTTAATGGGACATTTCTACACTACATAGAACGGCTCGAGTCAATAAGCCTTTATATATAATATATTAGCTTTTGCCATCTACTTCGTTCGCGTTAGTTTCATTATTACAAATGTATAGCTGACCAGACGAACAGTAAATAAACAGATTTTGTTAGCAAAAATATTTTTTGTCGAATTAATTCAAAAAAATTCTATGTCCGTCTCCTGATTCAAACCTACTTCCTAAAAAAAATCCAGACAAATCAGTACAGCCATTCTTGAGTTATAAATAGTGTAACTAATACGACTTTCTTTTACAGATATATAGATTTTCAATATAATTTATTTAATAAACAAAAGTTAAGCTCACAATCAAAATTACGATTGATTAGAAATATATAATAATTCCTGATTTAGAAGATAAAAAAAACTATAATATGACGGTCGCAGTATTAGGTATAATATTAATTTTTTAGATTTATCAAAGGACAATAACCTCATAACTTTAATATATTGATTAATATTATTTGGCACAGTCATTCATCACGAGAGGTCTTTGTCGTGACAAATGTTTTGACAAATGGATCCGCGCTCCTCTCCGCAGGTGATTAATATGAGGCTGAGAGAATTCATTGATTATTAAACGACAGACGTTTGGTATTTATATACATAATAATAAAAAAATATAGAATTATGTTAAAAGGTTGGCATTAAGGCATTTTTGTTATAGTGATTTTATTCAAAGATATATCTTTTCCCACTAGTATAAGGTACAAGCAACAGCCATCAGCGTTGAGTTCCCACGGGAGCACATGTTCTTTTTTCTACCAAAATTTCAATACAAATATTGACTGATTGAAGGGTTCGCGGGCATCTGTCGGCTCCTCTAACTGGTGAAAGCCTCACGCGATGAAAGGCCTATATTTTTGGGTAACATGTGTGTGGAGGAACTTATTGTTGGAACATGTGCTACTGTTGACAAGTGTATCTCTATACGTGTGGTTCAAATCAATGTATGAATTCAACGCGTGCAGGACAATACTGACTTGGAGATAGGTACTGTGATCAAAAGAAAAATAATAACAAACTATTCATTGTATACATTTTGTTGAATTATTCTTATATTATAAACATTTTTTCCTATCGGTCCCTAGTTGGTCTATAGTTATTCCTTAAACACGTTACAATTGTTTAGTGAAAAATTTAAAATGAAAAATGTGAAACAATCTTTAATATTTATAAATATATTTAATTACTTCTCTCGCGTGACATATTACAAAATTTAATGATTCGACCAACCTGATGCCTTACAAGGTCTTGGAACGTCACAAGAGTCGAAATATGCAAAATTAACTAGTGTTTGATTAAGAAGAACTCTTAATTTAGTCCCTACTCCTCGGCGTATTAGATTAAAGAATTTATTACTATATAAGACATAATGCTTTCACCGGTTCCTGAGAAACTGTATCATGACAAACATACAACGATCATTTTTACAAAGTTACATTTTTCCTTATATTTCTTATTCCTTGTACGACAAACACATTATTTGTTTAAACTTTCATTAGCTCAATAAATATTATATCTTTTTCTTAACAGAAACTAATATCAACTTATTATTAATTTTATGATATAAACTTGGTTTTTATTGCTCAGATACAACTTTCACATTTTGTAACAGAACGAAGTTTAGAAGTCAGATATTCGCGTAGTTGTCAGCTCTAAGTAGTCATTTGTGAACTACCCGATGTAAGTAAGGTGTTGTTTCTAGTATACTACTAGTTGTTTACTCCGAGCCGAGTTTTCCTTTAGCTTGTGTAGGTCTATAGACCGTCTGGACGGATCTGGCGCTTTCACCGGCCACACTTGACACCGTACTCCACAACACGTGGCGATCGAATATAACTCCAATCACAATTATATAGAGTTCTATATCGAATGGACTTTGTAGTGGTCAGGAATTTAATATTCGTCATTTCAGTGCAAAATAATAGTATATATCATGAAAGAAATGAAGGTTCTAGGACGTGTTACATATGTTAATGACGTCATCACCATACATATACTATAGTGCTAGTATATAGTTGACGGAGACGTTTGGAAAGTTGAGAGATGATCACACGTAGAGGATGTTCATCCCGGGAAACGAACAGTCATTAAGAGAGGTGCGGCCCAAGGAAAGCTAATTAATACAACATCATACTTCACGTATGTCTTTTGAACGTATGGGATTCCGTGTCCTTTCGTACACTTGTTGTACGGTCGGCAGATAAATCATTATTATGTTGTGTTTGATATATAAGTAAGTATAATTCCTCAATAATATGAAACGTAAATGAAAACTTCATTTATGAATGACGAGCGAGTCAAGGGGAAAGGTTAGTGTAGTCAGCTGATCGCTTTCACCGGCGGCCAATGGCCGTCTGTTTGCGCATGCGCATTGCGTGCCGGCACGTGTCCATTCGACTAGCCTCCACACATACAGGACTGCGATTTCTGTTTGTGAACATACTACGAGCAACAACGGCCTTTAGAGGTCGAGGGAGATATAGAAGAAGCGATACTTATTGCATTAACCTCACATGTGAATCATGTTTGAACAAATGCCTTCGCAACTCTGTTTGGGAATACCGTGTCTAGGATCCGTGTTACTAGATAGTTCATTACGCAAGAGGTTTCTTTGTCAATTAACAAATTTACGAAGCGTTCAGAATCAGCCTCGAAATATTAGCAAGTTATAAAGACTGTACTGCTTAATAAAATATATTTATTTTAATATCTAAACAAAAAAAATCAGTTCTATAATTATCAAATTGACAGTGTAAAATTAAGAACTTCCATTGTATATTCGGTATATTATCATTAAACACAAAACGTCACGTCGCTATGCATCGAAATGCAATTCAAAATTGCGATCTGATTGTAAAAAAAACAATTGCACGAGTAGTGAAAACTGTTCACGCACTTGACAACGTATGGTCATTGCCGCATCTGCGAGTGAAAGTTGCCGCGATGTGTGTCACCGAGACCTAGCCACTAGGTCTAGTCTAGGCATCGCTTATATTACTAGGTTTCTTTGCGGCTCGATTCACTACGAGTACCGTTTGGCATTTTGATTTATGGCAGCTATGCTTACAATGGATTATTGGATATTGGCAGTAATATGTACTTACAAACTTATATTGTATTAATGTTTAGTGGTGTTTGAAATTCGTTATATAAAATAGATGACATTGAATTCTTTCTTTGAATCCGACTAACGGACATTAAATTTCGTTTGGTCAGTTATACTATTATAAATTCTATATGAAACAGTATTAATAATGTAATGTAAGTGGTGCATGGCAACACAAAAATCCGTAAGCAAACATATCATTATGTGCGAAACGTGGACTGAGCTCTGTTATATATTAATTAAATTATCATAAGCCGTTGGAACGAGCGACGATTAATGGCGAGCCACATCTCCCGACTCTAATGTCGGTCAACTTTAAATATTATAAATTTACCACCAAATACATATATGTATATTCTTATGACTGCTCATTTCTAAGTCATCAGTCATCCCACGTCGTATGTTAGAGTTTATGTTAGACTGAATGTTTAGCTTATGTTTAGTCTCAATGAAGTAATTATCTGAAACCAATACAGCCTTCCGCGTCTCGCCCACGGCTGACTCATCGGAGGCTGTCAAGGATGCGTGTGTCACGTGACCTCTATACGAATGTTATCAGCCTGTGTTTCGTAACATTGACAACTCACTTAGAAGAAAAATCCGTTACGAAGATCGTCATCTGACCACTTAATGTATTTATAGTATTATTGAATATTTTTCGTTAAATAACTCCGTTAATATTGTGTGTTAGTTGCTTGGTGTATATAAAACGTTTCGTTATCAAAATTTATTCTAACTTCTATCAGTTTTATTGTCTTGTTTAGTTTTGTTTCATTGCCTCCAAACAATTGCTCCGTTGAATTTAAACCGAAATATTTTCCTGATCATCTTAACTTCGTTATATTAAAGCCTAACCCTCCTACCAGAGACTCGGACTTCTGTGCTTTAACTGACCGCATCTTCAGCCTCAGTTAGTCGTGAGTTCGCGATAAGATTCCGTTTTTATTCGCGTGTTATCTAATTAATTGGTGTAATCAGTCAGGTTGTATACTAGGTGTGCATTATTCCGCGGGGTCATTGAACTGTGTACAATAAAACCTAAGTCATCCACCGTAACACCGTGTATCCTAAATACAGCGTCAGGGTCGTTTATCGAACGGTAAATGGTCAAATACCTTCATCTGTGCGACGTCACTCACTCCTTTTTTAGTTCTGAAGATGATCGTACGTATCGAGAGTATGAGCAAGATGTTTCAGAGGTCTACAATTAATATTTAGGGCGTATATCTGTTAGCGTAGCGTGTGAAGGGTAAATGTTTTGATAAAGGACTCACCTGAAATAATGCTACAATATGTCTGGCTGTCGAATGTGTGTCACATCCAAAACAACATTATACACTGTGTCCGCTATGTTAGTGTCACTGTCTCAGTCCGGCGAAGGATACTAGAAAATAAGACGTTGATGTAGTTAGTAGGTACACCCGCTATATACATACATACAGCCTACTTACCACAGCCTACACGGAATGAAAACACTTCCCAGAGAAGTATCAGAAGTATTAAGAGAGGGTTATAGGCTGTGTCTCGAGTTAGGCGGAGTCTACGTGGAATACTCAGATATGATGAAGATAATTTAAATTACTATATAAATATGAAAAATATATTACATATATCGAAAAAATTATTAAGAGGAGATATAAAATTTTTGAGAAATATTACTAATGACGAATTAAATAATTTACGAAAAAAAATAAATAAATAATGAAATATATTCGGTGTCACAACGGAACGTGCGTCGCCGTTAAAACTGTAAAAAAACCTGTCAAACGACCTTCGGTAATAATCAGCCGAAAAACAGGCGGCGGTTTACGAGAAAACTGTTATTAATATAAGAATACAGTTCCCGGGACACAGAGAGGGCATGCGGTTAGGAGATATTGAGAGGAGAGCGACAGAGATATGAGATTGGCAAAAATAAAAGAGATGCAAACGATCTTCACTATATACAGGGATAGGAAGAAAATACGAGACACGGAGATACAATAATAATAACAAAAAGAACTGTCCCGCTCACTGTCACACACACTTCACTTTATTAATGCCAATAACATTGATGTGTTTCTGTAAGTAACATCCTGAACGTACACTGCGTCAGCTCGCCTGGCCGCTGGCCGCTCGTCGCTCGCCGCTGCTCCACGCGCCACACTGATCGCTCGCAACACTCGGGCCGGGCGCGCGCGCACACTCACTGCGACTCACTGCGCGCGCGCACCCTACTTACTCCCACCAGAACACACCACCGCCGACCACGGGCCACCAAGCGCGGCCCGCTCACACCACGCACATACTAGATTACAATACAAGACAATTCAGATGTAAAGAAAATTAATTAATCGTTATCCTTTTCCTGTCATTTTATTATCATTTTATAATTAGTATCCTAGAAAATGTTTCTATCATCGACTTTAAAATGATAATACTTCGTCGTCTTCATTAAGAAAACCAATAATAATTAGTACTTCTCTTCTAAGCTCGCCGAGCGGCGCATTTCTTCTTGAGTTGACCAGCCCTGGCGTACTATCTCCGATGCGTACACGCACACACACTCGCGCGAGCAGGCCTACAGACCTACAAACGAGCCTCTCACCCAAAACAGCGCCTGTGCCTCAGACTATAGAACACATTTTCCATGAGCGCCGCTCGTCGGTATTTTGGTGAGCGAGTTGGTAAGTGGGACACGATTTTCTTTATGGAGCCACGAGAGGCCCTGGCGAGGTCCTCTGTTATCATAACACGATTAATTGGTTGGAGAGCCACCTTCGGCACCATCTCCTCGGCCGCCGATACGATATATAGATATAATCGAGTTCATTTGAATATTAGCTTTATGCTCAATAACTAGCTGTACCCTTTAATAATTCGACTGTTTCAAAACTAGCTCCCACTGACTCACTCACTGGCTGCCTCTAACTAGTATCTGATCCTCGATATCGTCTCAACTCAATAATACCCCTAACAACCAAATAATTCATTGTCCGTGTGTTATTGTTGTTTATAAACGCTGTTCCAGTTCCGAACTAGTTCAATATAATAAAATAATCACAATTCCATTATCAAGAGTTACCACCTGTAACTCCTAACACTACCGCTCCGACACGTCAACAGACAACTCCTCGGCTCCACCAAGCGACAAGGGTCCTTATGTCCCCGTGTCAGAGGTGGTAATGGCCTGCTGGTGAGCCCGCGCCTGATAACAATGTTCAATACATAGTTAACGACTGAAATGTGCGCATAAATTGAAGTCTCTGTACCGTTCGTTATTAAAGTGTTAAGGAGACCTAACAATACTTATTACACTGTCCCTATATACTTGTATTATTGTACCATAATGTTATCTTTAAGCTAGTCTTGTGTTAGTCTGAACTTATATATATACAGCCTCTTTCAGCTCTGAGCCTAATTAAGTTCTTTTCATGATATTGACAGATTAGTCATCTCAGACTAGACCGAACCAGTCTCGCTTATTGTAGTCTCCGTCAGTCCAACAGTCCGCCCCGTACTCACGGACCATCAAAATATTACCGTAAAAGCGACAGTTACGGCCTCATTATTTTTCTTTTTGTGTCAAATTTTGAGAAAGTTATTTTTTAGTATTACACATTTATTTTTGCGTGATTTGCTTAAATTCTTTGTATTATATTTAATAAGTACACATATTGGTAGTTAATGATTGTGACTCGTATGAGTGGTGTTGTTAAACAATTATATTTAACCTAATTATTTAATTACTATTAATTCTTTATTTGAGCACTTAATTAGAATATAATTAGTGTTCTAACCCACAACGCCCACGGTACATTGCTCAATATGTTAATGTCACAGACAGTATTAGACGGACAGACTGTTGGTTAACTATTACAATACACTTGAACGTATGAAGTGTGTGTCAAAAGTGTAACTTTGAGACATGTGACTTCATTTTGTATGAAAATCATTCCGCTACGTGGACTTGTTGTAAGAAAAGTCTGTAAATTAAGGGAAAATATGGAGTAAAATTCAATTTATGACTTTATAATAGAAAGAAATTTTCTATATTAGTAAGTAATTAGTTAATTACCATCGATATATTTCATTTATTAACACCTCATATTTCATGACTATAAGAATATACATACAGTGTTCAGTTCCATAGGGTAAAAGTTCATCATTTATTGATGCATTGATAAAGAATACTCATTCCAATATAATATATATAGGGGAGAATTGGTTATATCGTACTAGTATTTAAATCGTACCACCTCTTAATTTCCCATTTAATGAATATTTTTTTTTACATTGACAATGCCAAATCGTGGCCCTGTACCATCCCTCTTCACCCACTAGTTTACATCGACTTGAGTTAACAACTGTGCACGTAATAAAAAAAATCATTTTTTGTAGGAATTGATATAAATATTGTCGTACATTCGTAAGGAGATAACTCGTAGTCAAGGTAAGCTATAGTTATTCAGTTTTTTTTTTATTATTCCACAATTGTATACTAGATTATTGGGGGTTTTTGTTGCGTGTCTAAGTTTTGAGTTTATGCCGGATATTTGCTTTTGTTTTAGAAATGCCTTAGTTGGTTTAATCGTACCACTTGCAGTTGGTTAAATTGTACTGGTACGATTTACCCGACTACCAACCGCAAGTACCTATAGTATTACCGCAAGTACCTATAGTAAGTACTACCCGAATCTGTAAAGCGATGATTTTCTGAAAATATATGTGGAAAGTGCAATTGTTCTTACTACGATAAGAAGGGTCCAAAAGTTAATTGGATTCAATGCGTTCGCTGTAAACGGTGGCTACATGAGACGTGTACTTCGAATCCAGACATTTGTCATGATTGTTTCCATTAAGAAATATGCACAATAATTATATTACAAATAACATTCTTGTTAACTGTTACTTTATTATTATAGTTTACTGTTTTTTTTGTCTAATTTTTATTAGTTATGTTGATTGATCTCATTATCATAGTATAATCATGTTATTTTACTGAGAAAGCTTATAGTTCCTTTATACAGGGTGACAGGTGAATTACTATCGATATTTGAGGACGTGATATTTGACGATCATATACGACAAAATAAAAATTAATATAACATAAATATTAATAAACTTCTAAGTAAAGTTAACCAAAAGTTATGTAATTAATTACGCATCGTGTGAACACCCTACAGATTAGGTATACACTGACACTCACACATACGTGTATCGTGACGTAGTGTTGTATCAGCACGCCGCCGCACGCGTCCACACTTGAACACTTGGAACGTGTCAACACTTTATTTATTTATACGGAAATTTTGTCAAAAATTAAGTGCCTATTTTTTTTACATAATTCGAATGAGAATCATGTACCGAGTATTCTCCTTAAATATTGATAGTAATTCACCAGTCACCCTGTATAACCTAAGAGTTAAAAATTATGTTTCTATTACCTATAAGATATAAATAATGTTGTTTTATTACTTACCTAACAGTTAAAAATAAATGATTTGATTGAGAATTTTAATGTCTTTCATTCAGTGGTACGACTTAAACACCCATGGTACGATTTAAAGACTTAGTGGTACGATTAAAACGACTAGTCCGCTAAATCGTACCGATGGCAAGCCTCTATAAAAAAGCATTTTTAACAATGTTAGAATAATCGCAAGGATCTGTTCTCTTCTTCTTAGGAAGCTAAAATATGAAACTTTATTTTACATATGTATTAATTATTAAAAGACGTGTTATAGTCGAAATATTTGAGTTAAAGTGAAAAGTGGTACGATATATCCGACTCTCCCCTATATCAGAGAGTAAATAAGAGGTATTTGATATATATGTATATATATATATATATATATATATATATATGTATATGTATATGTCATAATATTATGAAATAAAACAAACTGATACATAACTTTTATAATGTATGTAGATATATTTCAGAGTCTAATCATTCTCTCATGCTGTCGATCTGTATTTGTACGTCCGTCCTTTAATTATCAAACTAATTAATTTCTCCTATCATATAGAAAGCATCATAAGATCTAGATCCAAAATTTTATATAATTTTTATTTGAAAGTCCACTTTCTAACTTTCATTTCAAAAAATTGAATTTGAATTCCAAATTTAATACATATTAACATTTTTTGAAATCAATTAAATGTTGCTAATGTATGCGTTACAAATGTAGCTTTATATCGATAAGGATCTTTATCAATATACGTGTTTTACTTCAATCTGTTAATTAAATAATATCTCAGTAATATATAGGAGCGGATAAAAAATGTCTTGAGCCAGACTCGCTCGCTACGGACTGCTATGAATGACTTTAATTTAACATGAAAGTATTGAAAATAGGATACAATTATTATATTTATCTTCTGATATTTTCTTGAAATTATAAAGATTTGAAACTTTACGGTCTCCAGAACAAAGTATCCATTAGATAAAGTATGCTCTGTTATAAGAGTTGTACACAGATTTAAGAATTTATTCAAAGTTATTTTATGATACTCAAGTATTTCATTTGTTAAATTCTTTTCATTTCTTGTATATGAGAATTTAATTTAAATCATTCGTTCATTCATCGTAATCATTCATTCATCATCTATATTAAGATCAGAGTATATTAAGTTCTTGTGAGGTTCGCCCTCAGTACACTAAGTGTAACACACACACACACACATACACACCCATCATTATATATATCGTTCTATATTCTATAATCACTATGTTAATGAGGCCATCATTTCTGTATATATATTACACATCATAACACATTAACATCTACTTATAAACTAACTTCAACGTATCTCTGTTTCTTCTAGTATGTGTTTCATGTTCATGTTGTTCTATATGTTTGTTATGTACTATGTCTCATGTACATTGTGTTAGGACAGTTGAAGGAATCTTTAAAAGTAAACACTTAAAAGGATCACTACATGTTTATTTCAAATCAATACATTTTTTCATCGCAGTATGTTTCTTTTAAATTTTGTTTTGTACTTTAACTAAACCTTTTATTTACTTTTAAATTTAAATTATACACAGACAACCTGAAAGTTATTTTACTATGTGTTTATACAAAAATTTGTTCAACGGCAAAGATTAGTTGAAAATAAAAACTTTGATAATTTCCAGTAACAAATATTAATATTATTAAATCTTTCGATCCTTAGTAACACTCTCTTACAATCACTCTCTTGAAAAAACTTACGATAAATCAATAATATGTACAATATGGAACCTGTGAGCTCATCGCCTGTCCCCACCACTCATATGTCGTCTAACGATGAGTTCCGTCCACTCACCTACTGTGATCAAATACATCCACCGACCCTCTCTTGGGGGCGAAATATGTTGTTGAATTATTCTTTACTCTCAACGGGTCACGTATTTAACAAAAAATATATTCAAATATTATTTAAGGGAATCTTCTCTTTATGAGAAGTGGCATATGCTCATCAGTGGGCTCTGATAGGCTGATGATGATCATTTGAGTAAGAAAAATCGTGTAATATTTTCTTAGTATCAGATTAAATCCATTCGTCTGTTCTAAGTCAAATAAATGTTTTATCAGTCAAAATATTTAATACGTACAAGTTACATGAGTCCTGACTTCAATTACTTACAGTGAATGAATGTATTGCACAATGTTTCACAATTTGTGAATATAAGTCATGTAAGGCGCCATCCAAAATGAAACAAAACAAAAAAGTCATTCAAATCGGTCAAGCCGTTTAGGAGTTCAGTGACATACACACGTAGAGTACTATATATATATATA